TCACCATCATCACCATCGTCTACAAGGTCATGACGTAGCTCAGAAAGACTATCCTTCTGCCTCAAAAGCTGCATCTCCAGCAGCGATGCTCCCAGTCCTGACTCACGGGTCACATGACTGTCATTGGGGTCTCTGAAATCACATGGTGGGTGGGCAGCTGGCCCCGCATCAGTGGGAGGCTGCAAACCAGACCCATCCATTCCCCTGGGATGTTCTCAAACTTAAAATGTCCCTTCTGGGGCTTCCCTGGTGGCGCAGTTGTTGAGAGTCCGCCTGCCGATGCAGGGGACGCGGGTTCGTGCCCCGGTCCGGGAAGATCCCACATGCCGCGGAGCGGCTGGGCCCGTGAGCCATGGCCGCTGAGCCTGTGCGTCCGGAGCCTGTGCTCCGCAACGGGAGAGGCCACAACAGTGAGAGGCCCGCATACAGAAAAACAAACATGTCCCTTCTTAGAAACGTGCTGGCATATTTCTCTTGAACAACACAGGAAACAAAGATGAGTCTGTGGAATTGTTGCCTTTTTGTGGTAGAATACATTGAAATACAGTTTAAATGTTTTGTTATTATTATTTTCACTCTGCTTCTCTGGGGAGACAAATGTCATTCCTGAGTCAGTGTGGCCAGGTTGATCATCTTGTTAGGTCACCATCCTAGAGCCACACTGATGTCTGCAACTTACCCAGGGGCACAGGGAGAGGGTGGCACCACCCCCAGGCCATGCAGCGAGTCACATCCAGGACACAGGGCAGAGCTCCTGGGTCTGGAGTCTTCCCACGAGATTACAGAGCCCAGATTTTCCACCACAGCCATGATTCCAAACATCCCGCACTGCTCTTTCCAGAAATACATTCCTACTTGTCAGCCCATGTGGCTCGGATTTTTGTTTGGAAACATGGTCACTGTCACAGCATCACAATGCCTCCCTCATTATGTCCTTGGAGGGATTTAACAGATGGAAATTTCCCTCAATTCTCAGGAAAAAAGTGGGGAGGAAGAGAGCAGGGTTCCTTGCTGGGGGCCCTGCAGCTAATTCCACTGGCCATCTGGGAGTGAGTGGCTTCACTCCACAGCCAGGTGTACAGTGGCAGGTGCAGAGGGACTGCCCTGCTATGGGGTACCATTAGCACTGAGAGCTCTGTGATGGTTAATTTTTTATGTGCCAACTTGGCTGGACCATGGTACCCAGATATGTGACCAAATGCCAGTCTAGATGTTGCCAGGAAGGTATATTTTAGAGGCAATTAACATTTAAATCAGTAGACGTCGAGTAAAGCAGATCACCCTTCATAACGTGGGTGGGCCTCATCCAATCAGGTGAAGGAGAGGGCAGAGAGGAGTGAGGTGCCCTGAGCAGGGAGGGAATTCTGCCTCCAGGATGCCTCAGACTGAAGAGTGCAACATCAGCTCCTCTGTGTGTGTGTGTGTGTGTGTGTGTGTGGTGTGTTTATATACACATAGATACCTACACACACACGTCCTATTAGTTCCATCTCTCTGGAGACCCTGACAGACACAATCCCCCACCACGTCATAGGACACTCCTGTTTTTGAAGTATATTCTCATGGAAAACAACCCCGAGTGCACAGGGATGTAAGCACATGGGCTACTTGTCCCTACCTCTCTCCTTATTATCTTATTCTCGGCAAATTTTCCATGGCCTTAAGACGGGATGTGTTTTTCTCTGGTGTGGAGTTTTGTTTTTGTTTTTGTTGGCAACAGTGGGGTTGCTGGGGGGAGGGTAGGGGCGGGGCTTCCTAACGTGGCCAAGGAGAGCCATGAGCATCCCTTGTCCCGTGGGTGAGCTGCTATCTCCGCCGCCTCCCCAGGGGCGAGAAGGGCAGTGCCCAGGGTGCACTTGGTTCATTTCTCTTTGGGGTCCCAGATCTTCTGGAAGAAACAATGGAAGTTATGGGCAACAGCTCTGGGAAAATCCACATTCCTGCACACGTCTATAGGGATGTGAGACCTCTGGCAGCACCCACATACCCTGGGACAGCACGCCTCATTTGTGGGAGAAAGACCCGCAGACAGAACCTCAGTGACAACAAAGACAAGGGCCTCACAGGAAGTCACCAGCGTTACTGAGATCTACTACGTGCTGGGTGCTATTCGAACGCAGGTCTGGAAGAACCAAGTGTGCAGAAGGATGTGGGGAAACCAGAGAACTTGGATCTCACACCCAGAAAACACCTCTGGGAGCAGCTGGTCTCTCGAGCCTTCACTTTCCACGTGAGATACAGTAACTACCGCATCCCTCCTGAAGCTTTTGGGTCCTTAAACGCAGCCAAAACAACCATTCTCCAAGAATGCCTGCAACCTTGCAAGCATCCTTCCGAGATACAGCCGGATATTTGCCTCTGCCTCCATGTGACCGGAGGGCAGAAGAAGGAAAGACACCAGAAGCTGAAAACCACCCAAAGTTCAAGACTCTCTGTTTAGGCCTGAGGCTCCAGACCCCTGCGGGTTCCCAGCATAGCCAGCGGTGGGGACGGGATGCAACTCACACCCTGGAGAAGTTTCGAGACAGCAAGAGGGTCTGCTAAAGAAGAGGGGGTGACAGCTAAGGGGTGGGGGGCAGAAGCTGGAAAAGCCCTCGGTGTGCGCTACCCTCGTCCGTTTAGCTCAATCCAGTCATTCTTCAGATGCTTCCATTTCTCCAAAGGTCCAAGTTCCCTAAAACCCATTTCCTCACTTCACGATCTTATCCAATATGTTTTAAAGTTTGCCAGTGGACCTGTCCATATATCAACAGAGAATTTTTGGATGGAAGGAAAGAAAGAGGGAAGGAGGGAGGGAGGAGGAAAAGAAAGGAAGACAGAGAAAGACCATCCAGGAACATCTTCCGTATAAAAGTTATGTCGCTTGTCTGACTTCAAAACGCTCAAGCCTGGCTATTGTCATTTTTTTTTGTTTCCCCGGGTAGCTCACGAAACTCCCAAACACCATATTTAATCCTTTCCCCCTAGTGTTTAAAATGAATCAGGGTCAGGGAAGAGGGGAAGAGGTAAATCAAGCTGTGAGGGGAACGTTAGCAAGTTGGCTAGAAAAAGCCAAAGACCCATGGCTTCATCTCGGGCCCTACACCACAGCTCAGAACTGGGAGACAGGATTCCCACCAGGTCGCAGGGCTTTGCGACAATCGCTTCCCGCAGCCAGTGCTCAGGGCTTGGCAACAGGCAGAGAACTAAGGTGGTCTCCAAATATCCCCTCCTCTCCTCTGCAAAGGCCCCCCTGCCCCAAATTTGCTTAGCTTTCTTCTTTCTCCTTCTAGACCCACAGCCTGGGATTCCTACCAAGGCTGCCCTCAGTCCTGGGTTCTGTGAAGCTAATTTGGTCAGAGGACAATGCCAGGAAGATAAGAATCAGAAATGACAAGTGTCAGGGTGATGGGGATGGTAGGAGAAGGTGACCCTGATCACTGTCTGAGAACAGAAGGCAATCAGTGACAGCCCGTCCAAGAGTCCCTCCCCAGCACACATCACTTTTATGACCTGGCCCCATCCTTCCTACTGTGGGCTGACGGTATGTGCAGGAGCTGATCAGACACAGCCCGGCAGGCAAATTCTGCAATCAGGGTCAGCTTCATTTTGGGGGACCTGAGATAAAATGCAAACGTGGAGCCCTTGCTTCAAAGAGTATTAAGCATTTCCACTGCACACCTGAAACTAACACGATATTGTAGGTCAACTATACTTCGATTTTTTTTAAAAAAAAAGATTAAGCATTTCAAGATGGCAACAATACACTTTAAACCATGAGGGTCTTTCTGAGCTGGAACCCTGTGCATGTGTCCAGGCTCCCCGCTGGAGCCAGCCCTGCTTGCCATGCTGGACAACAGGGTGACTTTCCAGACCTCTCCCAGATGCAATTAGAGGGTTCACGACCTGGTTTGAAACACATTCGGCCCCCCAGGTCCACCCTCCTTTGCACTTCATCCTCGAGGTGTCGGTGAAACAAGGTGGGTATGTGAGGCCCATCGAGATATCACCCAGGGTGCTCAGAGGTTAGATGGCTCAGAATGAAGGAACCCCTGAAGGACATGAATCAAGGGGCTCCAAACACAGTGGCAAAGTTGCCTTTGAGGCCAAGGGCTCCAGGAAGGCTAAGAATCCCTAGTCAGGTGCAAGCAGGACGCCCAAGAGATCCCAAGAATACCTAGAGACATCTAGAGACGTCTGGTCCAAGTCCCAGACTGTAGAGACCAGGAAGGCAAAGTCCAAAGGCTGGTGACCAGAGCAAGGTCAAGCCCTCTTCACAGTTTGCAGGGTGATGTTTCTGCAGAAGGGGTTCCTGAATTGAGTCGCTGCCCACGGCCTCGGGAGAGGGTGAGCTTTACAGCAAGGAGACCCCACAACTAACTCAGGTGTCACTGTCTCGGTCCTGCAGTAAGAGAGTTCTTAGGGACCGGAAGGGCCAAGGGGGAGCTGTCCGGGGCAGGGGGTGACAGCGGGCAGGAGAAGCCAGCCTGGGGAGGACCCGTGGGCTTGCCCCCACAGGAGGTAAGGAGCCTGAAGCCCATGGAATTTCACCCCTACGGGGCAGGTTCCACGAGGCCCTGCCAAGCCCACCCCTGTGCTCCCTAGAGAGCAGGCTGATTTCAAGGAATTTGAAACTCCTTGGAGCCTGGCAGGGTCAGCAAGGGGGGCCAGGCCCACTTAGCCCCTGGGGCAGGAGATAACTTTCAGGGCTTCTTCCCTCCCAGAGGGACTTCTCAGGTGTCTAATCCCTCTGGCCGGCTCATTTCACTCAGAGGGAGGGCTCGCCCTTCCACCGGATCAGAAACTCTGGGGTTGGGTTTCTCCTGGGCCAGACCCTCAGAGGGGATGGGGGTCACACCCTTGACCTGCAGACCTGACCTGGGCTGGCAGGAGAGCCTAGCAAGGGCTGAAGGCTGTGCCAGGTGGGCTCTGGGCTGACCAGGCTGGGATGGGACCAGGTCATCCCGGAGTGTGAAGAGAGGGGCCTGGCCCAGGAGCCCCCGCCCCCAGGGCTGACTCACTCAGGAGTGTTGATCCAGATGATGTCCAGGTGGCAATAGTAGACACACTCTTTGTCCTTGTAGGTAAAACATGTACAGCGCCGGGCTCGGTGGTGCACAGGGCCCCTCTTGGCCGCCTGCTCCCCAAACCGACCAGGTCCCTCCTCCTGCCCGGGGCTTCTGGGGCTTGGACCGCGCACTGCTGTTGTGGCCGCAGTCTCCTCTGCGTCCCCCTCCGATCTGGCGGCAGAGGGGGCCCGGGGCTCGCCGCTCCTGCCAGCGTCCCCAGGCTGGGGGCGAGGCACCAATCCTGCAGAAGGCAGATTGAGGGGCTCCTGAGTTGCCGAGGGTGCAGGCCCCGGACACCCACCATCCCCCAAAACCCAGGGGAGGGGGGAAGCCAAACTTTCTGCCAAGTTTGCAAGCTAATGGCACTTTCTGTTAAGTCTCCAAGCTACGCCCGAGGTTCGGAAAAGTGTGCAAAGCTAGGCGCGCCGTTTCCGAAAAGTTTGCAAGTTGCATGCACACTTGGTGAAAAGCTTGGGAGCTCTTCTCGCCGCGCAGCGCGCAAGCTATCTGTGCCCGCTGAAAACGTGCAAGCATTGTGCAGGCTTTCGGAAAACTGTGCAGTCGTTTTGCACAGTTTCTGAATCGTTTGCAAACTTTTGGAAAAGTTCCCGACTTCACGAAATATCGACAAAGTCCGCCCCGGGCCCCGGGTCTCCAGCCTGCGTGTGGGCTGCAACCTCCCGAGTCCCCGGGGGTCCGTGCCCTCAGCTTCTGCCCCCCCAGCCCGCCCCCCGAGCGCCTGCAGGGGTGGCGAGCCGGGGCCAGAGGCCTCTGCCAGCAGTGCCCCCTTCCCCGCGCCCCCCGCCCCGCCCGTCCCGGGGTCCTTTTGTGTGCGCTCGCGCCAGGAGCCGCGCGCCGCCCCGCCCGCTTACCTGCGGCAGAGGTCACTGCGAGCCCGAAAAGGAACCACAGCCGCAGCTCCATGAACCCCGATCGGCCGCGGGAGCACCGGGCCGGAGGACGAACGCCTGTGGCCGTGAAAGGGGGCTCGTGCCGGGCACGGCGGGCCTCGCCCTCCGGCTAGGCGGTCTTCGAGGCCGGCCGCTGGCTGGCTGCGTCCCGGGCTGCGGCCAGGAGTTGGCTGCGACGGTCTCGAACTTCAGAGCGCGCTACCCATCCCGGCGCAGGGCTGGCCGGCTGTGGGCTCCAGCTCTTCTGCTTCCCGCACCACCCCCCTCGCCTCCCCGCCCCCCGGAGGGGCTGGAGCTGCCGCGCAGGGCCTTTGAACCCGGGGCGCACGGGGGTCGCCTCGCAGGCGCGGGGGAGCCGGCCAGGCGCAGGGCCGGGTGCGATGGGTGGGGGCCGGGACAGCTGCCGGAAGGCCACACTCACACGCGCGCACACACTCGCATACACACGCACACGCGCGCACTCACGCTCACGCGCCCACCCCGCCGCGTCGCTGCCCGGACCCTGCAGCTCCCACCGCAGCTCAGTGGGAGAGAGAAAAGGCTGCGCCTGAATCCTATCTCTTATCTCTGGGGCTCTGGAAAGCAGCATTTCTCACCGTTCACCTAATGACACCTTACCCTTGCACAGACCTGCCAGCCAAGGCCCTGGGCGTACTTTACACTCGTGACTCACGGGCACAGGCAGCGTCTGCCCGCCTCTCCCGGGAGCTTAGAGCTGGTGGGTTTGGGCAGCAATCAGGGACAAAGTCAACCAAGAAGTGGAGCTAGCGGTCCTGGGGTGTCCGTGACTTGTGCACAGCCCCCTGCACTGGGGAGGTGGCTTCGGTGAGAAGCAGGTTCCTCTCCCAGTCGTGGTCTTCCCACCCCACGTGTGGGAGGCGCTCCTAGCTCACCTGAGACTGGTCTCCTGCCCTGAGCACCACAGGAGAGAGGGTCGGTTAATTTCCTTGTTAAACACCCCCTTTGCTGAGAACTGTGCCTGGGCACAGGAAGTACTCAAGAAAGATTTGTCGATGAATGAAAGAATGAATGAATAAATGCTTCCCATGGACTCCACCCTGGACTGCTGACCTCTGAGCACACCAAGAAGCCCTTAGAGCCCCTCCCTGGCCAGAGTTCCCCGACCAGAGGGAAGGATGCAAAGAGAGGCAGTGCTCCAGGTGGCATCGGGCACTTCCCTCTTGGCCACTGCCTACCCCATCAGCTTGGACTGGATTGGAGTTGGCGTTCCCTGAAAACCCCAGGCAGGGCAGGGAGTCACAGGCCACACAGAGGAAGATAAACAGGTCTGAGGCCCTGGAGTCGCTCCTCATGTCACAGGGTACTTGTGGTGACTTGAACATGTCCACCAGTCCTTTGACACTCCTCCCACAAAAGACACAGTCGAGTACCACCCCACTCCCCTTCAGCCTGAATGACCCACTTGGAAAAAATAGAAGGCAGCAGAAGTGACATGAGTGCCTTTGGAGGCAAAGTCATAAAAGGTGGCACAACTCCCACATGGCTCTCTCCCTTGGGATCCTGGTCCTCTGGACACAGCTACCATGCTGGGAGGAAGGCCAAGCAAGCCCACGGAGAGAAACTGAGGCCTCGCAGACAACAGTCCATGCCAACCACTGTGTGAATGAATGAGCCTTGAGGTGACTGGAGCCCCCAGCCTTGAAGACTTCCAACCGAGGACTAGCCATCTCCGCTCTGTGCCCTGTGTGCATTCGGACCCACAGAGCCCATGGGCATAAGAAATGGTTGTTCTACACCACTCTGCTTTGGGCAATTTGTCATAGAGCTGTAGTAACTAGAAAGGTACCCGAGTCCCCAGAATTGAGCTGAGGCTTAAATTTCTCCATCACCTCCAGCCCCCTTCCATCCTACCCAGTCCCTGAGTCCAAGTCAAGGTGTGGAGAGGGAAAGATAACATCTTTTAAGGTCATTTGTCACCAAACAGGACAAATACTCTACAGGGGCCTCTTCCTCATTTTCTGTGTTGCATGTTTTGAAAATTAGAAAAGTCCAAGACTAGAATTACCTTCTGCTCCTGCCGGGCTAGAATCTGGATCGCTTTGTTATCATCTCTCTCCTTGGACTTAAAATATTCATCGCCTACAAAATGAAAAAATCCTGGATTGGGGGATGGCTGGAGAAATAGAAAATACAGTATACTAACCAGCTAAAAAGAGAAAAGGGGTAGAGGGCAGTTTCCTGGTATATTCAGACACAGGAGATGTCAGAGCTCTTGGACCACTCAGTGAGTCTGCTGCCTTCCACAGCTTGGACTAAAACCTGCCCCACCCGGATGAGCCTGCAAGGCACGCGTAGCTACGGAATACCAGCATGGCACTGGCCCGTCCTCAGAGTCTTCTAATCTAGTTGAGAGAAGGAGAGTATGGTCAGCTGGAGAGTCAGAAGAGTGAGAATTTTAACTGGTCCTTCCAGCAACCTGAGGACCATGATGGAGGTGTACCTGCCATGACACTCAACAGCAGCCACGCACAGGTGAGAAAGGTCTCCCCTTTTCCACTCCTTCAGTCCTTCTGACTGCGCCCAGGAGGCTCCTCAGTTGGATGTGTCTTTAACGTTCTAACAATCTAACATTTTTGTGCTTAGAGCCTTGAGCAGGCCACAGAATCTAGCTAGGATTTCTTCTCATTTTTTTGTTGCTGTTGTGCTAAAATACGTATAATGTAAAATCTACCATCTTAACCGTTTTTCAGTGTACAGTTCAGTCCACTCATAATGTCGGGCAACCATCACTAACACCCATGTCCATAACTCTTTTCATCTTGTTAAAGTGAAGTGCTATACCCGTGAGACATTAACTCGTCATCCTTCCCTCCCCGGCCCCTGGCAACCACCATTCTACTTCAATCTGTCTCTGATTTTGACTACCCTAAGTACCTCATGTAAGTGGAATCATACGGGGTTTGTCCTTTTGCGACCGGCTTATTTCACGTAATATAATGTCTTCAACATTCATCCATGTGTCGGAATTTCCTTCCCTTTTAAGGCTGAATAATATTCCATCATATAGATAGACTACATTTTGCTTATCCATGCATCTGTTAATAGACACTTGGGTTGCTTCCATGTTTTAGCCAACGTGAATAAAGCTTCTTTGAACATGAGTGTACAAATACCTCTTTGAGACTCTGCTTTCAGTTCTTTTGGGTGTATACCCAGAGGTAGAACTGCTGGGTCATTAGGTAATTCCACTTTTAATTTTTTGAGTAACTACCATACCATTTTCCACAGTAGCTATACCATCTTAGATTCCCACTAACAATGCACAGGAGTTCCAATTTTTTCGTACTCTCCCCAACATTTGCTATTTTCTGGGTTTTTTTTTTTTTTTAATAGTAGCCATCCTAATGGGTATCTCATTGTAGTTTTGATTTGCATTTCCTCTAATGCTTATTGATGTTGAGCATCTTTTTGTGTGCTTATTGGCTATTTGTATATGTCTTCTTTGGAGAAATGTTTATTCAAGTCCTATGCCCATCTTTTTTTTTTTTTTTGCCACAGCACGTGGCATGCAGGACCTTAGTTCCCCTACCAGGGGGTCGAACCTGCGCCCCCTGCAGTGGAAGCACAGATTCTTAACCACTGGACTTCCAGGGAAGTCCCCTATGCCCTTTTTTTTTTTTGCGGTACGCGGGCCTCTCACTGTTGTGGCCTCACCCGTTGCGGAGCACAGGCTCCGGACGCGCAGGCTCAGCGGCCATGGTTCACGGGCCCAGCCGCTCCGCGGCATGTGTGATCCTCCCGGACCGGGGCACGAACCCGTGTCCCCCGCATCGGCAGGTGGACTCTCAACCACTGCGCCACCAGGGAAGCCCTGCCTATGCCCACTTTTTAATTGGATTGTTTGGGGGGGTTTGTTGTTCCACTTAGGACTTTGTAACATCGTTTTCATTGCATTTAAATTTATATTTATCTTTCACTTATGGCATGTGTGGTAGTAATATAAATTCCTTTCTAAATTAATTTAAGTTTTAAAAATGGAGATGAGCTGGAGAAGCTGGGTTGTGTCCTGATTTGAGCCACTGGATCCAACTGGGCCTGAAATCCACACTCACCCTGTACTTTTCATTTGTAAAAGCTCATAGTTTCTAGTTTTTTAAAGTTGATTCGGGATTCTGTCGCTTTCACCTGAAAAACAATCCTGGCTGGAGCACTACCAGTCTTCCTGGGCTCCAGGCTACGCAGTATGCAAAGGAAACAAACATACAATTCACAAGCTGGTGGTGAGGGTTTTAATCATTGTTTTGACCTATGATAGCACAATTTGTACTATCATTATCCTCATTTTACAGATGAAAAAATGAAGGCTCAGAAAGGTTAAAGTGAATGTTCTACAATCACACAGCTGTTAGGTGACAGAGTCAGTATTCAAATTCAGTTCTATCCAATATCAGGGACACAGTTCCTAACCGTTAGGCAGCGCTGCTTCTAGATCTCATACCCTGTGTTTATAATCACACCCATTTTCCTCCGTGTGTCATCGACGAGTCATTGCTCCTCCATTTGTCTTGTTTCTTTATTCCCATAATCTCTGATGAAAGGTCACGGGAAGGAATGGAGACGGCTCGCCTCCCCGGCAGAGGACACTGAGGAAGGGTCCTTCTCCCCGTCTCGAGCCTCCATCCCTCCTTAGTCACCCTTTGCTGTCTCTGCCATCAAATGCCCCCCTAAGAGAAGGGATATATCAGGACACTTCCGCGACTCAGCCAACTGCATGGCTAGGGTCCTCCTGTTTCGTTTTCGTTAACATTTTCCAAGCTGGTAGATGTGTGGATGTATCTTTGAGACTGTACCTCTCGCTTAAATTTTGACGAGACATCCAGCTGTTAAGAATATTGTGATTTATCTAGCTAAGCATCCCCTCAAGATGCCTCTTCATGTGCTTTATGACTCTTTTGAAGATTGTTTTCCCTTAAAATGAGGGGATTTAAGTGAGAGTAACATAATACGTTATGTAGTTTTCCACTATCCTGGAGTTTCTTCCTCTCGCCTGGCCTCATCAGTGGAAACCCTGAACTTGCCCAGAAATCAGATAATTAAGTGCTTTTCCATGCTGCCCAAGTCTTAGCTGTGCACCTCCCCATCTTCCTGTGGTCACTGGGATCCACTGGAGGAGGTACCAGGCTCCAAATTCCTTGCTTTAAAAGCGACATAAATTGTTTTTCAAGTTCTCAGTGAAATAGAATTACCACAGTGCATTCCAAACTTCAGCCCTGCCAATTCCATGTGCTCAAGGGCTAAAAGAAATTAGTCGATCCCCAAAAGAAATCTGACAGCGAGTCTAAAAAAATTTGTTTAAAAGAGTTCTTTCCTGTGTTTTCTGTTATGGATGCTTGCTGTTGCTGCCCCTTGGCCATCCCGTTCCTCCAGCTCTGGTTCGGACTACATCTTCCCCTGGAAAACAGCTTCTCCACACACTATATGGTTTGGGTGGGGCTGCAAGACCAGGCTTGTGTCTCTGGATTATCCAATCAGAGCATCACATCATATTTGAGATAGGCAGGCCTCCAGAATTGTAAGATAATAAACTTGCTTTGTTTTAAAGCCACTATGTTTGTGGTCATTTGTTACAGCAGCAAGAGGAAATTAACACAATCTTGAATATAGTGATTGGTTCAGATATAAGCCCGTGAGCTAAGCCCAGCCCTATCAGAGCCAATGGGATTCAGTTCTGGGACTTTGAGTGGGACACTCTTCTCTTTTTCCACGGAGGTGCTGAAAGGGCCAGATGGAAGCTTAGAGGTGCTGGCAGCCATCTTGTCACCATGAGGGAAAAAAAGTCTGTCCAAGAATGGAGCCAATATGGAAAGAGCAGAAGTACAAAGTGGAAGTAGGGAGATGAGACTAAGTCTTGAGCCCCGGGTCCAACATGGTACACTAGACTTTTCACCTACATCAGCCACTACATTCCCATCTTTGTTTAAGCCAGTTCAAATTAGGTTTCTGCCACTGGCAGTCAAATTCATACTGATATATTTTGTCTTAACTCATTGTGAAATGGGAGTCAGTTGTCAAGACAACTGATGCAGGGGTGAGGCATCAGTGGGTAGCAACTGGCAGTAGATGTGGCTACTGGTGGTTGCGTCAAGACAGAGTAGCAAGACGTCATGCTGGTTGACTTGGTTGGGAATGAGAAGGACTACCAAAATAAATATTTTAAACTTTTTAGAACATCTGATGTTCCATACTTCCAGCAGGCGAAAGACATGAGTGCCTGTTCTAAAACCATTTCTTGTGGTAACAGGAACTGCACAGGAGGGGCTGGGAGAGCTAGCTGAACCGTGAAGCAGCATGTTATACAACCATCAGATGCAGTGCCAGCCCAGAGCCTCGTGGTTGCCTGTCACAAGCATCAAACCATAGAGAGACCGTTGCCTGATGGAAGGGCACAGAGACTCCACCTTTTCCAGCCTCAGCCCTTGGCAGAAGCAGATTTAGTTTGGGAATCTCTGGTCTACATTTCAGTGTCTGTTTTCCTTCAGCAATGTCTCCAACTCATACCTTTCCCACCCCCTCCTAAGAGCCTCCACCCAGACCACTGTCTCACATACCCACTCTCAACTTACCTCCAATGCTTTACCTAAAGGTGGGAATTTCAGGCATCCCAGCCGATTAATGGGCGAGATACTTTTGAACAAGTTAAGTCAACATGCCACAAACACACCTGCCCCTTTTACCTGCCTTGAAGTAGCCTTGACTTTTATCAGAGGAATTTCTCACAAACTGTAGCCGTCTAAAGCTCACAGAGGGGTAAGTTCCCATGTCCACCAAAGGCAACCAATCACTGCATTTGGGAAGCTTGATTCCAGCAGCTGTCAGACGCCTTGATCTGTATGCGGAATAAAAATATTCGCAAAGCTTTCCTCCATTCCCTTCACCTCACGGCACGGATCCTGCCCAAAGCCGCTTTAAAGCCCAAATGCTGCCCCTTCTAGAAAGTTCTACCTG